CTCTAAACTGCACGCCCGCACCTAACCGATCTCCTAAAACTTTTAGAGGAGTAAAAGTTATCCTCCTCGGCTACCCTGACTCTTAAATATACTCTTCCGCCCACCCATGCAGTAAAATATTTTCCCCTCCCCCCTGGCCGGACCCACCCAATCCCACGCCACACTACTTGCCTCCGTCGGCCACCTCGCCCCCATGGTAGCACCCGCCACGCTCCTCTCCACCTCAAATTGGTCATTTCTCTTTGTTAGCACCCGCCTGACTGTTGTGACCAGATACTGATCAGGCCGTCTGTCCGGTCAGTTGGGGAGCGTGATTTTAGATGCTCTTAGAATGGAGTCACATAGTTGTACAACCGAATAGCAAACTGAAATAAAAATAGAATCTTATGTACCTGCTCGCTACAACACCCAAAATATGCCAGCCCAAAAACGCACAAGGCTGTACGTTTGCTCAACTATTTGCTATAATGAGCGACAAGTATATAGGAGCTCTCAGAAAAGAGAAACCAACCTAGGTACAAGATCAAGCCCGTTTACATGCCAAGCAGTAGCACAAAAGAGAAAAATAAGGACAAAACAAGATAAATAGGTGACGAAAAAGACAGTGACAAACAGACGCAAGGATGCAGCCATACAAGCCAAGCCACATAGGTAACACCAATTGATTGAGATTAATTCATATTGATATGTAATTAGCATTGATATTGATAATTGGTATGACCTTAGTTACGAGCTAAACATGTTGGGCACTCGCTACTGAAACAAGCTAGGCCGCTAATTAACATGATTTTAGGACTGAGATCTACTGAACCCGCTAATTTGCATCTTTTTATATTGATATAATATAAGGCTGGTCGCAGTGAAAATATCATAAATAGTATCATGTGTGTCAATTAGGCATTTTTGCTGAGATGGCACACAATTAAACGAGAAAAATAATAATTGAGTATCGTGGTATGATATCATATCGTATTAAATAATGTACTAGTATATATTATGTATGACAATAAATGAGATTGCTATGATACCGAACTATGATACTACGCATTGTGGAGGCAGTATCATAAGCTAGTATTATATGTCCGATACTAGTATATGATATTTTACATTGTGACCAACCTAATATGGAACCTCCATCCGGTATTAACTGGCTGGGGAGGCGGGGAGTAATAATATATAGGTAAAGATATATGATTACTTCATGGTATTTACCAATGACCCGACTGCCGAATAGTCTACCGGAAAGACTCTTGACTTTTTAACGGGGCGTACCAACTTTTTTTTTCATGTATACACATCAACATGAAATAGCTGACACACTCGACTCAAATCATATATTTTTTGTGAGGCAAGACTCAATCATATCTATTCCCATACGTATACAATCGTGACTCCTTGACTAATATGATCACACGGCTTCGTCCGACAAGTTTGGTTAGTTCCAACATCGTGTCCAGGGTATGTGCTTGGAGTATTAGCTAGAGTAGAAGACATATAGACCGGACATGTGAAAGCGGTCGACCCTAGCATATAGAAAACTCAAAGATACGAGACATGTAGACTACATGTACTCCTACCTTCTGGGTTTATTAGACCCTTTCTATTTTGGGTTAAAATTTGACCATAAATTTAATTACTACAGTGTAAACTACATGTCACAAAAATTATACTATTGAAAGCCTCTCTCGAATAAAAATTAAACAATACTTTATATAGCATATAGTTTGTGCTTTGTTAGACAAATAAATGATCAAAAATTGACCAAAAATACGTGAGGGCGAAATAAACCAGGAAGAAGCGAGTAAAACCCAACACAATATATGCAGAGTAGAAGACATATAGAATAACCATGTGGAAACCGACGCAATATATGCCGCCAACATATGCCGGCCCTGGCTTATAGAAAACTCAAAGCTAGGGACATATAGATCAGAACATTTGGAAAACGACACAATATATACCGCCATATCGTACAGAAAATTCAACGCTAGAAGACATAAAGGGCAGGACATGTAAAAACAGACAACAATATTTGCCGGCCCTATATTGATTATATTGTCCGCGTTTTTCATTAGTTCGGACTTCTGGATGATCAGGTTAGAGCATAAATTGAACTTGGTATCGGGGTTAAGAGGTCTCAAGTGCAAGACATTGTCGATCATCTACATCGATCCTATTTCTACCATATAAAGGAGCCTTGAAGTGTGGGGGTGTTCGGACTTTTGGACGGCTGGAGCATGATTTCGTTAGAAGTATAGATGTGTTCGTTAGATATTAGGAGGGATAGAGATAAATTTGGTTCTAACCAACAATGAATTGCCTTGTAGTCCAATCTTCTCATCACTCTGTACTCCTGTAATCTCACGAGGGTCAGATCAATTTAACAGTGGCAACAGAGATATTTAGTCACCCCATAATTTCACGTCGTATTAGAGCCTTTAGTCTAATGATGCCAATCCTAGGTGGCGAATTTCTCCACCATTTCCATGGCATGCCGGCGCTGGGGAGACTAATCTCCTCTCCCATGGGCGCGGCACCCGATCGATAAAAAATTTGATCATGTAAATCATATTGATTACTTGGATTAGATCAATTCCAGTTTTTGAAATTTCTTAGATTGATTTTTCTTTAGCCTTTGATCGACCCGATTATCCGGTTAAAATCTTCTCAATAGAAATCGGTGCTTGGTGGCTAGGTGCAGAGCACGTGCAGCTGCTCCGAGCCACGATCGACCCGGAGATAGCGCACACCCTACGACATGCAGCGGATCGATCCCTCGGACACAGGTGCGACAATAACGCCACGGATACAGGTGGCAGTGTGGCCTCCCACGAAGCGCGGGCCATGCGCACGGCCATCGACCATGCCAGACCGTGGGACACAAAGCAACCCAACCACTAGGCCGTGCATGCCTCAAACGCCCTAGCGGCCCATCCAGTTACTGACCGGTCACGGGCCCCTCAAACGGGTCTCAAATACCCGGGCTGACCGGCATCCCTCATTTACAACTTAAATATGAGGCGGATATGGGCACACGGGCAGGCCCGGACACGCCTGTTACGTCGGTCTGATGGGGAGGTCCCCACGTGAAAATGCCCGGAAACCCGGCGATCCGACGGACGCCACGTCCGTCGCCGTGGTGTGAGCACCGCGTGGCGCCGCTCTGGCTCGCCGCCCGAGACAAAATCCAGCTATTTAAGTCGGGCGATGTCCCACAACCCTAATCCATCCACCTCCCCCCCCCCCTCTCCGCGCCGCCAGTCTGAACCTATCCATCTCCTTCCTCTCCCGCTCCGACGCTCTGCCCACGGTACGGTACTCCTCCCATGCTCCGGCGATCCACCATGGTGCGGAGCAAGATCACCTATTATGCAATGCTGGCGTCGGAGCGCCGCTACGAGATCCAGCAGGAGATCCAGGCGAGACAAGCCGCGTGCGCCGCGCACAGTTGCCGGGCTGCCTCCGGACTCTTTGAAGCCGGAGGAGAAGGAGGAGCAGCCAGGGGAAGAGGAGGAGATGGCTCCGATGGAGGTGACGGAGGCGGAGCGGCAGAAGTCGGAGTTGCCGGAGCAGCAGTTGTCGGGCTTCAATATGGAGCAGGTGGAGGCGGAGTTCGCCGTCACCCAGTCGGAGGAGATGGCGGAGCAGCAGGCCATCCTAGAGTCCATCCAGAATGAGACCTATGTGGAGGCCAACCGGGCGTTACTCTTCCAGGAGCAGGCGGCCTCCGACGCGCTCTTCGCCAAACTCGACGCGTATATATAGGCGGAGGAGGCCAGGGCGGAGCAGCCGGAGGCACCGGAGGAGCCGGAGCTGCAGCTGCCGCCCATGCTGCCGGAGCCGGGCATGGAGATCGTCGACATGTCGAACGATGAGTAGCTAGGTCATCGACGTAATACATAGATTTATTTCAGTTTGCATGTCTTTGTATGGATTTAAGAATCTAGTGTAAGATGTCCGTAAGATGTCCAAATGCAACCGTTGAAATTTGAGGCATACTCGGTCACTGCCGGCGGACGCGCCCGGGCACGTACGTAGATATTTGAGGGGCCATATTTTACACATCCGGTTGTAAATGCTCTTAGAAAGAAAAGAAAATTCAAGGTGAGTTTACGCATACGCATCTACGATCTGCATCGATCAATCTAAGCTGTACACGACTCCATCAACTTCTCCGACAACAGCGAACACTGTGTAGCTCAGATGGTTGTTTATTACGGTGAAATTAACTCATCAGGGTTCAAGTCTTAAACTTACATTGGCGGTTGCATTTTTTGAATTTATTTCAGGCCTTTCAACGATGTAGGTTTAGTGTGAGAAGACATTCCTGTCGACTATATGCCGGCTCAGTCACTTCAAGGTACTCATATGCCTGCGTTTATAAAGATGAATATATGTGCGTATATATGAGCGTCCGCGTCTATGTTGCGTTAAAGAAAACTTGTCCGGCAGCAAGGCATCAACAAACTTCATGAACTAAGGACACCTTCAAGCGACGTACTACTTCGCGCCTGCCGCGTCTTCTCCGACACATCATCGCAAGGTCTACGTCAACGTGATTTTCATCACCATCACCATCGACGCACCGTCGCCGCTGCCTCGTCAAGTGTGCTAGTTAAATATTAGGATAGATGGAGATAGATTTCGTTTAAATCATCAATGACTTGCCTTGTACTCTAATCTCCTTTCCATGTTGTATATATTTACGAGGATCAAATCAACATAACAACAAAATAAATAAATAAATAAATATCCATCCCATAATTTCCACAGAATGAATTCAACAGACTAGCATAGAAATTCTAAATCCAAAGCCAGGAGACATATCACAGTGATCCTCCGTGTGGTGGCCCAAGCTGGCTGTACAGAGCTTCCACTAAAAAGCGAAAGCTGGCAAATCGATCCCTCTATATAGTAGGTACCAAATCCGTCTACGTAGGTATCGAGTGCACTCGCGCCCCTTGCCATACGTACGTCTCCCTACTCGCCAAGCAGCAACAATGGCTACTGCAATCATGAGCCCTCACCATCTTCTGTCTGTCTCCGTGTACATCATCACTTGCCTCTGCTACTCGGTGGCTCTAGCTACCGCGCTCTCCTTCAGCTTCAACTTCTCCAGCCCCGGCTCCGGCGACCTCTGTGACACGGAGCTCAGCTGCGAACGTGACGCATGCATGGGCCCTGGCGCCATCGAGCTAACAAGGAATGACATGGCAGCCAACGTCTTTAGCGTTGGCCGGGCATCGTACGCTCGCCCGGTGCCGCTCTGGGACGACGTCAGCGGCGAGGTGGCCAGCTTCTCCTCCAACTTCACGTTCCAGATCAAGCCCCAAAACAGATCACAAGACAATTTTGGTCTTTGTAACTCGAGCCTCACTAGCGACGCTAGTGCTGACGGTATATCTTTCTTCCTGGCGCACTACCCGTCGAGGCTCCTTCCCAACAGCGGGGGCGAAAATCTCGCTCTTTTCAATTTCAGCAATAACTTCAACGCCACCGGTGATGCGCGGTTAGTCGCGGTGGAGTTCGACACCTACCTCAACCCATGGGACCACAGCGACAACCACATGGGCATAGACGTCAACTCCCTCGACTCCAGGGCCTACACCAACGTGACCAAGCGACTGGTCTCATACAACGCCATCATGACCACCCAGATCAGCTACGACAAACGCACTGGCGTTCTGGTCGCCCTTCTCCAGATTGACGGCGACGGACCATGGTACAGCGTAAGCACGTCGGTGGACATGAAGAGGGAGCTACCCCAGCAAGTCTCAGTCGGCTTCGCGGCATCAACTGGTCTCTGCGCCGAGCTGCACCAGGTGATGTCTTGGTCGTTTAGCTCCACTCTAGATGATGCAAGGGTGCCTACCAATACCATTATGCGGCAACGTCGACTAGTGGTTGTGCTGCTGCCTTTATTGGCCGTTGCTTTTCTAGTGTTGGTCTGCGTTGTCACCGCCACTATAGTTCTCCGGCGACGGAAATGGAAGAGGCTAGCTGATTCCAATGATGAAGGACGCGAGAAAGCTGAGTTCGAGAGAGGGGTAGGACCTAGACGGTACCGCTACTGTGAGCTCGCGGCAGCCACAAATGACTTCGCGGAGCAGGGGAAGCTTGGGCAAGGGGGCTTCGGTTGCGTCTACCAGGGCAGCGGCCTTAGCGACCACGACAGCCCGGTGGCCATCAAGATGCTCTCCATGGAATCGTCGGCGCAGGGGAGGAAAGAGTTCGAGGCGGAGGTGAAGATTATAAGTCGGGTGAGGCACCGGAATCTTGTGCACTTGCTAGGCTGGTCCGACAGCCGCAATGGGAGCCTGCTCGTCTATGAGCTCGTGCCCAAAGGCAGCCTCGACCGACACATTTACAGCAAGAACCGTCTCCTCACTTGGCCAGAAAGGTACGTGACTATGCCTTATAAATTAAATAAAAATTTAAGTTTGTTCTAAATCGAACTTCTTTGAATCTGATCAAAGTCTATAGAAAAATATTCCAACATCTACGACATCATATTAGTTTTTAGTAGATACTTTATATTGCATTTCTATACTATATATGTTTGACGTTTTAGACCTCATCACATTTTTCTATAAACTTGGTTTGAATTCGGAAAAAAAACAGGAACTTCAGTTAACTTGGAATCACCAAATGATTATTACCCCCTTTTTGATCATTTCCATTATTATAAATTAATTTAAGCACTATAAGATTGAGCAAATCAATGCATAAATATGTATGATAGTAATTTATTAACCCGGCCTTGTTGACCGAACACACATACAGATACAAGATCATCCTTGGACTGGGATCTGCACTACGCTATCTCCACACAGAGTGTGACCAATGTGTGTTGCATGGTGACATAAAACCCGAAAACATACTCCTCGACTCATCTTGGAGCACCAAGCTAGCAGATTTCGGGCTAGCGAGGCTCGTGGATCATGGAGCCGGGCCACAAACGACGGAGAACATCAAGGGCACCCTATGGTACATGGACCTGGAGTTTATTCGCTCACACCATCCCATCCCCGAAGCGGACATCTACAGCTTCGGTGTTGTTCTGTTGGAGGTCGTGTCTGGCCAGCACCCAGGAATGGGGATGAAACTCCGGGTCAACGAGGACATCCCGCTGCTCATGTGGATCTGGGACCTGTACGAGAGGGGCACCATCCTTAAAGCGGTGGATAAAAGGCTACATGGGGACAACCAGCTGCTCGACCACAATTGTAAGTGGCAGATGCATCATGCGCTGGTCGTCGGGCTCTGGTGCACGCACCCACGCCTAGAGGCGCGACCGTCCATTGTGCAGCTCATGAACATCTTGCAGCCAAAGGACGTCACGCTGCCAGCCCTGTCGTGGCCATCCCCGGCCAACGTTACCACTGGATCACATGGGTATAACACCGCATCAACCTCATGGGCCAATGTTTGAAGCGACGTGTCTTGGGCTAGAAGTGGCAGATGACCAAATCTACTTTGCCGGAGACTAGTTGTTACGACTTAATTGAACAAACGTACGTCCTCCGTCCTTTGAAGAGTGTACTTCTAACTTTGTTGGAGGGTGAAACTATCACAAAGTTTGACCGACTTTGTGCAATAACATATCAATATTTGTGAAACCAAATAGATATATGATGGAAGTATATTTTATCCTGAATCTAATGCTACAAATTTGATGGCATAAATTTCGGTGTATTGTTGTATAAATATGGTCAAACATATAAAATATTTGACTTCCCCACTTGGAGAGCTGGAAAGGCGCACGGGCTGGCCGAGGAGCAGGCCGACGACGAGCGAGAGATGATCTGGGCATGCAAGGAGGAGCAGTGTGCCCGCCATGGCAGCGGACACCGGAGGAGGCTGCCTTCACAGCATGGCAGAGCGTGTTCGCGTGGGCTGGGTCACCGCGCGCCTTCAGCGACCTCACCAGCGGCAGCGACGACGGCAAGGGCAAGGGTAAGGCCTAAGGAAGCGTGTATTTGTAAGGTCCTGTGAAGCCTTAGGTCTTCTTGAAAGGGAAAGAGAAAACATATTTTCCAACAATGGCCTTAAGGCTTTTCAAGAAAAATGGACACCACTTTGGTATTGGACTAGTGCTTATCAAGTCTATATACATTGACTTTGATGAGAATACCCCTGACACCGGCAATCTCCGGTGTAGTGTAGCTGATAGGTTGATCTCCATCCACCTACGCTCACGAGATGTAGCTATATATCCCGTTGTTCACCCACAAGTGATGTTCTGAACTGAATGTTTAAGAGAACGGATCCTAGAATTGTACTTACCAACGAAAGCTTGTTTCCGTTGTGCAATATTGTGTGTTTGTAACTTTAGAAACCAGAATGTTTAAGAGAACGGATCTTAGAATTGTACCAACGTAATTAGCTCTAAATTTTGTTCCAAAAAGATGGAGACGTGACATGAGTAGCACAGTAAGTAGTACACGCTGATGCACACACTTTACGTACAAGTAGTATGTCACCTACGTGCACACCGGACCTTTGCCATCGCGCGCGTACACACACGCACACCAAAATCGACAAGAGAAGAAACCGCGACTTGACTTGATTAATGATTAGTTGACGCCAACATGAATCCACCGGTGATGATGGAGAATTCGAGGTGTTAATTAATTTTCTGCGTGATCGTCGGGGCCGGCTTTCTTGGCCGCCGGCGGGGGCGGCAGCTGGTTGCCGTCGGAGTCGAAGGCGATGTGTCTGGAGAACTGGAGCAGCCGGCACTTGTCGCCCATGATGATGGCCTTCCTCCACACGGCCTCGTCGTCCTCCAGCCCCACAGCGGCCGCCGCCTCCTTGTCGTCGTCGCTGCTGCCCGACGGAGACCGCCGGTTCATATTGTCGGCACTTGGCATTCACCCCGCTGCAGTCGATTTAGTTGTTGCCGAAGGCAACAGCCACGCTCAAACGGGCAAAATAATCCTGTACGACCGGGTCGTACGTGCAACCCGGCCGCAAGGGGAGGCTGTCAGGTGGGTCACCCCCACGACGAGCTCTCTCACAAACGGGTCGTACAGGATTCGCCTCCCTCAAACGGGAAGGATCGAACCTGGCCTGAATTGCATGCATTAAGGCGGGTCATAATGAAAAGTATGATATACTAATATCATGTATATGATACTAATGTGTGATATTATATCCACAATGCATAGTATCATAAATTAGTATCGTAGGTGATCTAATTTATTGCCATGCATGACATATAGTAGCATAATATTTATTATGATACGGTATCTACTTATGTTACTATAACCCTCTTTCTCTTATTTAATTGTCTGTCTTATAAGCATGTTTGCGAGTTCCAAGTGCATGATACTGGTTGGGTCCTGATAACGCCTACACATGTGGCATACTAGACATCCGCCCACACATCGTGTGTGCCATGAGCAGGAGGCAGCCCACACGGGCTGTGTATAGGTAAACATTAGAATTGCCCACACGTGTCGTGTGTGATTAACTACTTGCCACATATGGTCAAACAATAGTTGCCATGTGTGTTTACCCAGTTGCCACGTGTGGTCCAACCATAGTTAACATGTACGGTTAATCACAGTTGCCATGTGTGTTTATCTGGTTGCCACATACGCGCAACTACAATTGTCGTCTACCAACAAATCATAGTTGCCATGTGTATTTACCTAGTTGCCACGTACGCGTAACTGCAGTTGCCATCCAACAATGTACGAGTGTCGTGTGGGCGAAAAGCAGCCCGCCCACACGCGCGTGGACTAGGTGGTGGTTGTGAGGGCAGAAATTAGTTCGCCCAAATAGCGCAGCTGGCAAACCGCGTGCTGCGGGGCGCGTGAGCGAACTCTCCAACGTCCACACACCAACCCCGTCCTATATGGCACATAAATTCTGTCTCAATGTGTCAAGATTCGTGCAAACTCGATTGAACGGTGATCCACGCGCGTGGACGAGTTGTAAAACTGCCACACGTGTGGGCGTTAGTATTTTACCCCACTATGGCCAGCCTAATCCGTTCTTAACACATGCGCCAAAAGCTGACCTACGTGCACATGTGAGAACCGACGCAATATATGTCATCCCATAGTAACCACACAATTCAATATTCTAGCATAGGAATCCCAAATCCAACGCCAGGAGACATATCACATTGGATCCTCCGTGTGGTGGCTCAAGCTGGCCGTCCGGAGCTTCCACTAAAACCAAAGCTGTTAAATCGATCCCTCTACATATATAGTAGGTACCAAATCCGTCTATGTAGATACCGATCGAGTGCACTCGCTACTCGCCAAGAAGCAACAATGGCTGCTGCAATCATGAGCCCTCACCATCTTCTCTCTGTCTCCGCGTACATCATCGTTTGCCTCTGCTACTTGCTCGGTCTGGCTACCGCGCTCTCCTTCAACTTCAACTTCTCCAGCCCCGGCTCCGGCGACCTCTGCGACATGGAGCTCAGCTGCGAACGTGACGCATGGATGGGTTCTGGCGCCATCGACCTAACGAGGAACTACATCGCAGCCAACGTCTTCAGCGTTGGCCGGGCGTCGTACGCTCGCCCTGTGCAGCTGTGGGACGACGCCACCGGCGAGGTGGCCAGCTTCTCCTCCAACTTCACGTTCCAGATGAAGCCCCAAAACAGATCGGAAGACAATGTTGGTCTATGTAACTCGAGCCTCACCAGCGACTCTAGTGCTGACGGTATATCTTTCTTCCTGGCGCACTACCCGTCGAGGCTCCTTCCCAACAGCGGGGGCGAAAACCTTGCTCTTTTCAATTTCAGCAATCGCTTCAACGTCACCGGTGATGCACAGTTAGTCGCGGTGGAATTCGACACCTACCTCAACAGCCCGTGGGACCACAGCGACAACCACATGGGCATAGATGTCAACTCCCTCGACTCCACGGCCTACACCAACGTGACCAAGCGGCTAGTCTCGAATGACGCCATCATGACCGCCCAAATCAGCTACGACAACCGCACTGGTCTTCTGGTCGCCCTTCTCGACATCGACGGTGACGGACCACAGTACAGCGTAAGCACGTGGGTGGACATGAAGAGGGAGCTACCCCAGCAAGTCTCGGTCGGCTTCGCAGCATCAACTGGTCTCTGCGCCGCGCTGCACCGGGTCACGTCCTGGTCGTTTAGCTCCACTCTAGATGATGCCACGGTGCGTACCAATGACGGTCCACGGCGACGCCTACCACCTGTGCGTGTGCTGGTGCCATCAGCAACAGCAGCTTTTCTTGTGTTGCTCTGCGGTGCCGCCGCCATCATAGTTTGTCAGCGACGCAAACAGAAGAGGCTAGCTGATTCCGATGACGAAGGACACGAGCAAGCGGAGTTCGAGAGAGGGGTAGGACCTAGGCGGTACCGCTACCGTGAGCTCGCGGCAGCTACAAATGACTTCGCGGAGCAGGGGAAGATTGGGCAAGGGGGCTTCGGCAGCGTCTACCGGGGCGGCGGCCTTAGCGACCACGACAGCCCAGTGGCCATCAAGATGCTCTCCATGGAATCGTCGGCGCAGGGGAGGAAAGAGTTCGAGGCGGAGGTGAAGATTATAAGCCGGCTGAGGCACCGGAACCTTGTGCACTTGCTAGGCTGGTCCGACAGCGCCAAGGGGCTCCTGCTAGTCTATGAGTTCATGCCGAAAGGCAGTCTCGACCAACACATTTACAGCGAGAACTGTCTCCTCACTTGGTCAGAAAGGTACGTGACTACGCCTTATAAATTAATTGAAAATTTAAGTTTCTCTAAATCGAACTTCTTTGAATCTGATCAAAGTCTATAGAAAAAAATTCTAACATCTACGACATCATATTAGTTCTTATTAGATACTTTATATTGCATTTCTATACTATATATGTTTGACGTTTTAGACCTCAACACAATTTTCTATAAACTTGGTTTGACTTACAAAAAAAACTCAGGAACTTCAGTTAACTTGGAATCACCAAATGATTATTACCTCCTTTTCCATCATTTCCGTTATTATATTAATTTAAGCACTATTAGATTGAGCAAATCAATGCGTAAATTTGCATGGTAGTAATTTAGTAATCTGGCCTTGTTGAACAAACACAAATACAGATACAAGATCATCCTTGGCCTGGGGTCTGCACTACGCTATCTCCACACAGAGTGCGATCAATGTGTGCTGCATGGTGACATAAAACCCGAAAACATACTCCTCGACTCATCATGGAGCACCAAGCTAGCAGATTTCGGGCTAGCGAGGCTCGTGGATCATGGAGCCGGGCCACAGACGACGGAGAACATCAAGGGCACCCTATGGTACATGGACCTGGAGTTTATTCTCTCACACCATCCCACACCGGAAGCGGACATCTACAGCTTCGGTGTCGTTCTGCTGGAGGTCGTGTCCGGCCAGCACCCAGGGATGGGGATGAAACTCCGGGTCAACGAGGACATCCCGTTGCTGATGTGGATCTGGAACCTGTACAAGAAGGGCACCATCCTTGAAGCTGTGGATAAAAGGCTACATGGGGACAACCAGCAGCTCGACCACAACTGTAAGTGGCAGTTGCATCATGCGCTAGTCGTCGGGCTCTGGTGCACGCACCCATGCCAAGAGGCGCGACCGTCCATTGTGCAGCTCATGAACGTCTTGCAGTCAAAGGACGTCACGCTGCCGGCCCTGTCGTGGCCAGCCCCAGCCAACGTTACCACTGGATCACATGGGTATAACACCGCATCAACCTCATCGGCCAATGCTTGAAGCGACGTGTCTTGGGCTAGCAGTGGCAGATGACCAAATCTACTTTGCCGGAGCCTAGTTGTTACAACTTAATTGCACAAACATACGTCTGAATAGTTTCTCAATATTGTCGTGTACTTCTGATTCACTAGTAATTATGTTGCACATCTTACTAGAATTTAGTATTTGCATTATTGTGGTTTATTATGCTACTGTTGCCACTGCTATCGCACTATCATACTATTGTGCTACTGATCAGTTTGTTGCAGATATTTAGCTGTCCAGGTGTGGTTGAATGGACAACTCAACTGCTAATACTTACAAATATTATTTGACTCTCCTTATATCGAAACTATAAATTTAGGTGAAATACTACACTCGAAGACTGTTATAATCCCCTATACTTGTGGGTTATCAAGCGGTAGCACACATCAGGGGAGGGAGAGACGAGGGGGAGACGTGATAGGCTTTCAGGAGGTTAATAGGTAAGAGCGACAACCGGTTCCGCGTGATTCCTCCGATTTGGAGGTCTCAGCCTGTTTCGGATATTCGGCGAATATTCGCTAGGTGGCAATGACTTGGTTCCGGTTCCACCTACGAACCAAACACAAGAACGAGGCTCTAGAGCAGGTCCGACCATGCCATTCCACCTCATGATTGGAACCAAACACATCCTTAATTACGAGGGAATTAACCTGGTCTAGCCGATAGAATTAACACATACACGGTGCGTACAGATACAAAACTATCCTTGGACTGGGATCTGCATAACGCTATCTCCACACGGAGTGCGATTAATGTGTACTGCATGATGACATCAAACCCAATAACATACTCCTCGACTCATCAGGCGGCACCAAGCTTGCGGATTTTGGGTTGGCGAGGCTCGTGGATCGTGGAGCTGGGCCGTCGGGCCGCAGACGACGAAGATAGCCAAGGGCACTGAAAGGTACATACACACGGAGTTTATTCGCTCACGCCGACGGAGTCCCGAAGCGAACGTCTACATCTTCGACATCGTTCTGCTGTAGGTCGTGTCCGTCCAGCGTCCAGGGATTGGGTTGGAACACTGGGTTGGCGAAGTCATCCCACTGCTCATGTGGATCTGGGACATGTACGAGAATGGCACCATCCTGGAAGCGGTGGATGAAAGCTTATAGGGTAAGCGGCAGATGCAGTGTGCACTGGTCGTCGGGCTCTGGTGCTTGCACCCACGCCTGGGCGACATATCCTATTTAGCGCTTGAGGAATCCGTTACTATGCATTTTGCAAACGGGTGACTGAAGCCTTCCAAGCTAGGTTGGCCCCTTTAGTTATACTTGTTCTTCTCTTTTTCTTTCTTTACTTAAATTTCATGTTTTGTCAAAGATAAAATAATGACCTAATAAATTTGAACATAATAGATCATGTTTTGTCAAAGCTGACCATGTGCACGACTCATGTCTGCATGATACACAAAACACGGCTCAATTTTGACACAATCAATCATGTCCATTCATAATTACCAGATTCAATCGCTAAGAGTTACAGAAAAAGAATCATTGTTAACAGCAAGTACGCTGCAGGTCTTGCAGATCAGATGTGTGTCAAGCAGAGGATTGGTACAAGCGGCGGCGGTGAAACCGTTGGTGTTCTTCGTCTAGAAGACCGACGGGATCGATCGAAGCGGCGCAGACCAATTTGGACGCTGGGTCGCAGGGAGCAAAAGCCGAGGCGGCTAGTGGGCAGCTTAGAACGTGTCAGGCTGTCCCCGGTGGGGCTGGCTGGTGCGTGCTTGGTGGGCTAGGCCCTTGTACAGCCGTTAGGTTGAAGCTGTGGCTCAGGCGCTGCATGTTCAGGCTGGAGGCATGCGTACGAAACTACACAAGGGCATCGTGAGATTTGTTTTTGGACAAAAAAAAGGGACTGAGTCCCATGAGGAGACGTGATCTCCTGGTCTCCGAGCCGGGCAGCTGTAGCCGCTTGAAAGCAGCAGTCGACACGGGAGACAAAGACACGAGGCAGTCGGATCAAATCAGCAGATGAAATCCATTGATAGTTTACATTGGAAAGCACAGACTTGACAAAAGCAAAGCTAGCATCAGATATTGAGCCAGGAGCATATCACGTGAAATACCAAGGTTGATTGGATTTTGCTATTAGTGCACGGGGGTGTATCTCTTCAGGTTTGCTCGTGTACTTGGGGCATTGTGGTGGAAGCTCGATGAATTTTTCACTGGATCAGTTATGAAGAATCATGGCGCCAACGAGTATCATGTTTTAGGTGGAGAAGTTCAACGGGACATAAAACCTTGGGTTATGACAGACAAGGGTGAAAGATTTGTTGGCGCAACATGGATGCTTGAAGGCGTTGCAGGAAGTCATGTCAGCTAAGATGGAATTATCAGGTGATGGATGGAGATTCGCGGAAGACGATTTGGGAGTTTCAAGTGTGTCTTGCAGTCGGATATGTTCGGCTGGGTCAGACTTGTCAGTCTGACGGATCGACGTGAGTCGGTTGGTACAGAAGACGGTGGTGGGATCGGCGACATCGACATAGGAGCGTGATGCTGATAGTGACCGACTTCTGGGCGTGGAAACACGTGGCGCAGGCCCCGAGGGCTTGTGTGGCTTCGACAAGACTATGGCGCGGGGTTGATTCAAGACGGTGCACATGAGATCTTGGAGTCGACGAGGCGCGGGGTGGCAAGTACAACCACCATGGAGTCATGTTGAAGGTGGAGCTGGATTGAGGGGCTATGGTGTAAGGATCCAGAGAATCGAAGCCTATTCAGTGGACGGGAAAAAGCGAGTGACATGCAGTTCGGACTGGAGCCCAATGGTCCGATGGAAGCATGAAACTCGTCATCGGTCGGTGATGATCGGTGGTACTCTGCAGTGGGGGTTGAGTGGTGTGGGTTCGCGACCCTTGAGACTTGACCGGGACAGCGGAGGCTCGACGCGGTAATAGTGGCGAGGCGTGCGGTACGCACGGGGCATGGAGACAGGCCAGGGCTCTGGTGGTCATACATGTGGTGAGACAACTGCGAATTTGACTCGGGATGACTACAACGGTAAAATTCTTTCAAGTTTCAGACAGGCGGTCAAGAAAGGAGCGGTGATGTTGAGTTCAGGTAACTCTTATGTGTGACACCCAATATTTGAGTTGTTCATTTTCACGCAGGTCAGTGATCAGTGTGTGATGGCGTTGGACGGATACTCTGAAAGTTGGGAGCACAAACTAGAGTAACAAGGAACTTAATTTTGCTCGAGTGTTGACTGTGGTCAAGAAAAAGAAGGGACTACAAGTTGCAGGTGGAGTCACATGGAGTCTTTGGAGTAGCAGCGGTGCTCATGGGATAAACTCAAGTCCAATGTACATGGAAGTTTGACGCATGGACGAACACAAGGTGGTGGAGAATATTCGCCAAGGTGGAGTTTGTTGGAGTTGTGTCGAATATAGTGTACAAGGTAGGTTACAGTTGGACTTGTAGTTGTATCATGTTTACATAGGATGTGGAGTCGTGTCCTATGCCAACATATAGCGGGGGTAGACACACGATGTAACCTATGCCAACATAATAGCACCGGAACGCAGGGGAAGCCGGCGGCATGTGCCGATGTCCAGAGCGACCGGGTGCGGTATTGTAGCGGTGTCATGGGGAGGAGCGCCCATAGTCAGGCCCCGGGGATGTAACCATATCGGTGAACCTCGTTAACAAATCTCGGTGTCGTGCTCGTGTGATTGCTTGGTCTTCGGATGATCAACGGTATGCCTTGGATTTATTCTAACAGCAAGCTCCGCCTCACGTTGTCTCGGGCTCAAGAAAACGTCTCGTTGCCTCCACAGCCATACCTCACGCCGACATTTCTCACTCATAGAGCCTTCCTGGTTTGAAATGTTTGGAAGTCTGATGTCCGAGTTGCCGAACACTGAATTTTGTATCAACAATATAATAGTTGTATAGTAGCATTCTGGAAAGAGACTGAAACTTCTTGGTCTGCTCTATGGTGTAATGTGAAAGAGACCTACATGTGGCGCCTGGCGGCGGCGGTTGTGATGCGAGTGCTGCGTACATGGAGGTGTTTATGGTGTGTGAGGGCAACTGCAATCACTGGCGGAGGTAGAGGGTGGACAGGGTGGGCGACGGCCCACCCTGGGATTTTTTGAATAGCTTTATAGCATAGGAAAAAAAGGTAAAAAAATATTAAGAAATAAATATTTTTATGAACAGTTCTATTGTTGGCCCACCCTGACCCATTGGGCTAGATCCGCTACAGACTGCAATAGGGAGACCCAAATTTTATCTGTTTTTTGTCCGTTTGAATCGCCAAAATGAACAGCGGATATTCGTGACCGGTTTGGGGAGCCTGATTGGGTCACATTTTTGTGACCAGATACTGATCAGGCCGTCTGTCTGGTCAGTTGGGGAGCACGATAGTAGATGCTCCTAGAATGGAGTCGCATAGTTGTACAACCGAAAGGCAAACTAAAATGAAAATAAAATCGCATGTACAACCGAAAGGCAAACTGAAACTGAAATGAAAATAATAATTGAGTATCATGGTATATATGATACCGTATCATATTAAATAATGTACGTAATAACAGCTTAGCTTAGAAGTTAGAAGCCGGGGAAACAGAGAGATCACTGAGAGCACAGACGCGTAGGAAGGAGATGAGCCGCAGCTTATATGCACGCACGGCACGATCGGGTGCCGGAGACTGGACTGGAGAGAATCGTGGCTGCACATAGCGCTCAAATTCCTTGGCCGTGCAGGACCAGTTAGACTGTTTGACCCGGCCAAGCGGCGACGGCGATTGATGCTACAGGTCCTCGCCCGGCCGCCGGAGACTGGCGCTACCAGACAGCAGCTTAACTAGCACTTTGGCGATGCCCCGAGAACTGTAGCAGTCGACTGAGGCACTGTAGCTCAGGATCATGCCATTGTAGCTAACGTTTTTTTTAAATAGTACATTTGGTGAAAAAAGAAACATTGTTCAAAAAAGTGAACAACTTTGTAAAAATGAAAAGATTTGT